AGTTCTCGTCTGCCGGCCCGTCTGGGAGGCATAGGCTTGTCTGTGGACCTTGGCTCCCTGGAGATGCAGTGAAAATCAACAGGATGCAGAAATCGGAGTGACCCGACCTGCTGTGAGCCCTTCGACAGAGGCACCCAGGTGCTTGTGGTGCTGGGCCACGGTGGGTGCCCGGGACACCTTCATATCCATGATTCAACCCCATGGAATGCTCTTGGAGGACGGTAACATTCCCTCCTGGCTGGTAGCCCCCGTCTCCCCAAGAGCTCCCCTCCGTCTGCTCGAGGTGGCCAAGATGGTCCTGCCACCCTGAAGCCTCCCTGAAGCCTCCCTGAAGGTCGGTCCCAGCTGCTTTGCCCTGGGGCCAGGCCCTGTTCTCGCAGGACTAGGAGGGATCACTGCAGTCACAGCCCAAGGGCCAAAGTGACCCATCTCTGACGGTTCACTTCCATCTTCAGTACTGCAAAACCAGTGACCAAAGGCAACAGAAATGACTATGTGCAGCAGAAAGGTAGCGCTGACGGCATCCGTGGTGTCCCAGGCCTGGGGACACCGCTCACTACAGTGTGCAGCTTGCTGACCCCACGCGGTCCCTGCCAACATAGGCAACCCCCCTCCATAAAGCAGCCTGGGGCTCAGCCTAACCCTGCCCATAAGCAAGACACCAGTTAGACTCTTCCCCAGAGCCTTCATAGCATCTTTGCAGCCCCTGGCTCCCCATCCAATCTCCCAAATCTGGGTGAGAGGAAAGTAAAGCTCTTTGTATCCAAATGAGCACAAAAGGAGAGGAAAGGGCAGGAGGAAACCCTCCACTGGTGCTTGCTGGGGAGTCAGGAGACCCCAGTGGCCACGAATACCTCCAACTAGCAGCCATGGCATTCCCCTGCAGCAGAGAGGTCAATAAACCAGTAAGCAGAAACCACCAGAAAGCTACGCAAACGCAAGCGAGAGGCTCTGCACGGCTGCGCTCTGCAAGAGCTACGGCCCAGGTCATGATGGCACGTGCCAACCCCCATGTGGAAACATCCTGGTGAGCAAAGGATGGGCAAGGACCGGACGAAGTCCCTGGTCGTTACTGCAGATGTGGCCTGTGTAGAATCAGTAAGGCTCCTCTTGAAAACACTGACGTTCCCTGGACCTGCAGGATTTTATGAGGAAAACTGTGGTCTCTTGCCCTCAGAAGGTGCTCAGAAGTCAGTAGGATGGGCAGGACATGGTGAAAAACCTCTTTTGAGGCAGCCAGAAGAAGGAAAATAGTGTGCAGAAGAAGAGAGCAAGGAATGATGCAAGATCCCCGTAGCTTTACATGATAAACTTTGGAGGCTGGAAGCAGTAACAGACTTGTGAGTCCTTGCAATGCCGACATTCAGAGGAGGGTTGGGCAAGCTCAACCGCTAGGACTGCACGCATCGTATCAGTTTCTCCCTAAATTCCATAACTAAGCAAGAGAAGGGCTTCTGGATCACCTCCTCCTCTGTAGAAGGTGCTACAAACCTTCCTCAAAGCTACAGTTTTCAACTGTCAAGTTGATTTCATTCCATACTGTGCAGAAGTTCCCGATAGCAGAAAGCTGGGGACAAGCTCCAAGCAGCGGGCGGGCAGGGAGGGAGATGCAGATGCTCCTCCAGGGGAACCTGAGACCGTCACTGCTCATTTGACCCTGACCCAAACTCAATGGCTGGTGTTAGTCTGATCAGCTGAGCAAGAAAGAGCCGGCAGACGATGCCCTGGCCATCACAGCACTGGTGCAGGCCCATGCTGTTCTGCTTAGTGTCTGATGCTCTAAAGAAGCACAAGTCAATGAATCAGGGGGAAAGGAAAGAAATAAAACGAAACACCTTTCCCCAGGCTCCTGAGAGAGCAGCAGGGACCTCACACCTCACCTCTGGTCACAGGCACGACCTTCACCTGGCGCTTCTGACCATCCCCACCTCACCTGAAGATAAGGTGACAAGGGACACAGGCCTGCAGATGTGACACCACACAACCCCTCAGCCCGGCACCCTTCTGCTTCCCAAGCCAAAGATGCTCTCCCGAAAGCAAGATCCAGGCTGGGTGTAAATGATCACCCATCTCCTTGACCACTGTCCCCAGTAACATCTGACTGTTATCTCCCCCTCGTGTGGCTAAAGACCAGGACTGCCACTGAGCCATACCTGGAATAACGGGAGCCGTCCATCTCGTTTGGACTGCAGCGGTTCCACAGAGGGAATCAGATGAGCTGCTTCCGTCAGAAGGATCAATGTGCAAACATGAATGCTGAGCTAGGACAGCCACAGATCCTGCTAGGCACAACTGTCCCCCGGCTGCTCTCTCCAACTGCGGGTCTCGCAATGGGCTCAGCTGGGAACGTGCTGGGAACGACCCCCTTTGCCCTGCTGCTGCGGAGCTGCTCCGGGCCACATCCTCCTCTCACAGGGGCTGCTGGAAGGGACCGGATCAGGAGCCTTTGGGCTCCTGGGGCCTCACGAGCCCAGCAAGGTGCTAGTTAGCAGCCGTGCTCTTCCCCCTGCTGCAGGCAGAGTGACGGCTGGTGGTGCCGGTCACCGTGTGCTCCGTTTACTGAGAGAGGCTCTCCCTCCAGCTAGGACAACAGACCTAGCGGACACAGATGTCCCACAGGTGAGGTGGGACGACGGCTGGTGGTGCCGGTCACCATGCGCTCCGTTTACTGAAAGAGGCTCTCCCTCCAGCTAGGACAACGGACACACAGATGTCCCACAGGTGAGGTGGGAGCACACGCTTGTGTGCTGGCTCTGCGTACGCCCCAACAGGAAAAACCTCTCAGGAACCGCAGGCTGGACACGATCTAGTGAAACTCTCAGGAACAACAGGCCCATCCCTTGGGAACCCTCTGGGCACCACAACTTTCAGGACAAACCTGTCAGGAAAGTGCCAGCATCTACACTGCAGAGGTGGAAGAATTCATCTTTTCAGAGAAATGTTGCCTGTAAAGCATTGCCATGGGCCCTAACACCACTGAGATGGGCATATGCTGCAATGCTCAGTTGCTAGGGTTTGGTAGCACAGCAAGGTGAGGAGACTTCTTTGCATTCAGAGACGAACTCTTCCTGCAAGCTGGTGGTGAGCAGGTACAGGCAACTTTTGCAGAAAGGCCTGCATGACCTAGGACCAAACAGTCATATCCAAAACTACCTGGGAACAGGTCTCCCACATCACCCCCTAGATCAGACTGTAACACTTAGTATTCAGTGTGCAAAGACTCCTGACTCAACCCAACAACCACTCACCTGATGATGACAGCAGCAGACCAGGTTAGATGAGGAAGGGTTAACCTCCCAGTGCCCGCCTTGGGATTCCTGAAGGCCCCATTATCCCGAATTATTTTTCATAATTACTGCCACACACGTAGACTACATCAAGAGTGAATCTTCACTTTGATAATTTGTGCTGTGAAATCTCACTTTGGGATCTACTTTTATCTCACACCAAACACCTGCAGGTCGTAAAAGGCAAAAAGGAAAAGAAAACGCCTCAAATCCGGCCAGGTTTTCAAGTGTCAGAGAACATTAAATTAATGCTAAATTCTAACCCACACAGTAAAGCGCCCCCCACCCTCTTCTTAAATTAGCTAAACAAAAGGGCTAAAGTGAGACGTTAACATATAATTAAGGCAGAAGGAGATAAAACTGTAGCTAATAAGGGAGGGGATGTTGACTTTTCAGAAGTTAAAATAGATCCTACAAAAAAAGAGAGAGAAGGGCTTTGTGCTTAAGCAAGGGACAAGGAATCAAACTACCTGTGCAGCTCTCCTGTTGGCTTGGCCATAAACTCCTGCTAAAAAGCCACATAAGCTTTTTAAGCTCCCCCATGCCCTGTTTCTTCACACATGAAATGGGTGTTGCGCTCACTTACCTCACGGATTCCTCTCTTTATTAACCTTTGAGGAGCCTCTGTGATCCTTGGATGAAAAGGGGCTCGTACCTTTTGGACATGTTTGCACACATACACGAGGGAAAACCTTTCTCACCAAGCCTGGACTGAGCTGCAGCGCTTTTCTGCTTTCTGCAGCTTGCAAAAGGCCTGGAAGCCAAAATCTCATCCTTAGCCATACTTTCCAGTCCAATCTGTTCCTTTAAAGTAGGATTTTTGTTTATGAAACTCAGGGAATGTTGGATTATAATCTCTCTCCTGTCAAATTAGCTAGGAAATTGTAATTTTCCTCGGGGGACATCAGTGCCCATGAAGCACGCATTTAATATTTATCACTTCAGCTAATGAAATATCTTTCCAGCCAGCTGCTGTAAGCACCTCTGGATGTCAAACTGCCAGCCTCAGATAAATGTCCCGTTGAATCCGACTAGATTCTAATAAACAGCTTTTAGGTAGGAACTCGTGTCCAATTTATAAATGTTAAAGAACAGCTTGTGTTTCAATCCCATCCAGGTGCTTTACAATCCTGGCACAACCGCTGACCACAAGGCCGTGCGTTTCGCATTAGCGCTCCCTACGCATCTCGCATACGTACGGTCACCCGCAGACCGTTCAGATGTGGGAAGGGACCTCCTGTCTGGGATTAGGAACAGCGACCGACAAGCGGGAGCACCACCAGAATAAGCAGAGAGCATCCCCTGTTTAGGCACCGCTCTCCTTCCAGGCTGCCTCGTCCCTCCTGCCCCCAGCAAGGATGCGAGGGGCAGGATTTCCAAGTAACGGCCCCAGTTTGGCCCCATTGGAAGTGGGCGCCCGCCTCCTTAGGCACATTGCAGCGTAGCAGAGGCACAAATTAAACACTTCTGCGCTGCGGGAGCAGCAGGAGGAGGCCCTGGCGGAGCCGCAGGGCTGGGACGATGCCCCGCGTGCTCCCGCTGGGCTCCGCGGGCTGCGGAGCGGCATCCCGAGCCGCCTCCCTGGCGATCTGTGTGGTCCCCGCGCCGCGTCCTGCTGGAAAAGTACAGTGCGTCCGCCCGGCGCGGGGAGCCGATCGGCCGGCACCAGCCCGCGTGCATGTCAATGAGGGGGGGAGGGCCGGGACACACCGCTCTGTAAATACTTCTTTATTAAGACATAAATATAAAGCTGAACAGGAAAGGAGCAATGACAGGGTAAACTGTGCCAGTACTGATCTGCGCGGATGATCTTACGATGCTGAACATCTGGTTCTGCTGCTGGCTTCCATAAAATCGTCTTTAAAAGCTACTCGGGTTATATCTCCATCAGCTGTTCAGTGCCCACAATGACTTCATTAACATGTTTGGCTGAAAAGAGAGAGGGAGGGAGGAAAAGGAGAGGAATTGAGTTTTGTAGCCGTGTTTCAGACCTCGCATTTTTCAAATCCGCATCTTTAAAACAAATGAGAAAAGCAGGTTTTAGGGAGCTCGAGCACAGCTTCGCTGCCTTTCTTTGCACTCTCAGACAGTATCCCCCACACACGGCAAAAGCCTAAACAACTGACTAAACATCGCAGGGTTTGTCTAATGAGAGTCTTCACATGTCCGTGTCACTGCTGAGCAACAAAGTCCCGACGGAAGTCACAGCTGCTGCTGCTGACAGATGCACGTCCGCAACGACATCCCGCGTGGCAACCTGACATCAAATCAGTTATCAGCCACCCAGCCTGTCCCCGCGACTGCCGTGTGCCCCCGAAGCGCGCGGAGCCGTGGAGGTGAGGGGCTGCTCATGCAGTCACCGAGACCCTCAGCAACCCCAACGCATGTTTGGGGGAAAAAGGGGCTTGTTTTTTAAAGCCTGGATACAAAAAAAAAAAAAAAATCTAGTTGAACTCTCTGTAAAATTGGCCACATGAAGCGAGGCCGCTGAGCGCAGTTATCAGCGCTGCAGGGCTGAGGGGCGCAGGGATGCGGAGAACAGCCCGGCTCAGACTCCCCTGGAGCAGCTCAGCTCGCTTGGAGGGGCCGTTTTCACAAGGTCACTCCTCTGCCTATTCCCAGGAGCTCTGCACAGCCTCACTGGACGTATTAATGTGCCAGTCCCTGCCCCAGCGCTGTTAATACGCTGTACTGAAAGAGCCTCCCTTTTAAAATGCACAAGCAGCTTGTCAGGGAAAGACTGCAAATAAGGGATCTAAGGCCAAAATAATAAAAACACAAAACCAAAAGACCAGTGCCTAAAAAAGCAAGCATGTGGCCTCAGACGCGACACAAAGCCTCTCTGCTCAAAGTGGGTGTCCTCAGGGTACCGGCAGGGTTAGGCAGGGAATCTAAATCACCCTCTGAGGCTTGGACACTTATTCAGGTGGAGTTCAGGTGGTTTGAATGAGGCTCCCCATTTTTCCCTTCTCTATGTCAATAATAATAACCAGCTCTCGCATCCAGGGTGCGTGGGATAATCCATCAAGGCCCGTGAGGTGCTCAGACTCACTAATGGAGGCTGTGTTGTCTCCCACGCCTTGCACAGCAGTGGCGGTGGATAGCCAAGGATGATGTAAATAACTAGTTGTGTTTTATTTACCACCGAAAAACTCCTGCCCTCAGGGGAGCAGATTTTGCAAGACGGCTGGAAAACAACAAACATGCTACCTTCAGCTATGTAAAGAAATTCCTGGCAATTCCCAAGGTGGCCGAGCCAACACGGTGCTTCTCCTGGTTGAGACGTTATCTTTGCACCAGGCAAACCATCACTCCAGAAAACAACAAAGTTTGATTAAAAACAACTCTAGAAACATCAAGGAGTATTCGCACTGTGAAAAGACAACTTTCAACTACAAACCCAATCACACAATCATATGGATGCTTTTGACTCTGCAGCCTAGGGGACAGGATTGGGTTAGCAAGACGACTGCCTTTCAGAGAGCCCTCCAGAGAACAGAAAACAAGGAGTTACTTCTCACTTTCAGCCTCAGATTGGGTAATTCAATCCTTCACTCAGGGTGTTCAGTGACAACCGATAATTAAACCTTATGGAGCCTTCTGCTGACGTCTCAGAACTTGGATGGCGACGCTGGAGCACGAAGCCCCATCTGGAGCAGTTTGGGCAGGACGAGCAGGGGTGGATGTGGTGCTCGGGAACATGAGGACCGACTGTACGAGTGCCAGGTGCAAGCGCGATGTAGGTAGCACACACGGCGTCTCCAGCACAGCTCTGCCAACAGCCCCAAGTCCAGCCTCCAGCATCTTCTCCTCCCCTCCTGGACCCCACACAGCTCTGCCAAGGCACCTCAAATCCAACCTGCAGCACTTCTTGCTATAACATTCCTCACCCCCAACAACTTTCCCAATATATCTCAAACAGGCCCTGTAGCAACTCCTGTGACTCCATTCCTGAACCTCCTCCAAGCAGACTACCTATCACGTTGATTTCTGTGATGTGAATAAGACCCTGGCTAGCATCCAGTGACAGTAATTACGTTATGCCTCTGCAGATTAGACTTGCCTTCATCTACACTTATGAAGCACCATGTCAATCTGTGGTTCTATATATAGGTTATCTGTAGCAATATTTTTAATAAGAAACTTTCTGCTTCACTTCATACAGCATCCTGCGCTGTCCTAAACTTGTGTAGCTGGGATGGGCCCTGTCACATTCTTTGCTGCAGAGGTGGCACCAACTATTTATATTTTGCATTGACACGCTCACAGGCTCTTCTGATATCTGGTATTTTACATCTGATGCCTCAAAATACTTCTCAAGAGTGGGTGAATAAGAGCATTCTCATTTCACAGAGAGGGAAACAGAGGCAGCAGCAAGTTCAGAGAGCTAAACAGCCTGCCAAAGTTGCATGGGCAATCACGACACACATTCCCTGATCTCCTTTTCCTCTGCCTGTTGTGTCGCCTCCTTGATCCACGTCGCCCAGATCCTCTGAGCTGGGCACACACTGCCCGCCCAGCCTGTCACTACTGCCTCAGAGACCGGCAGCAAGTCTCCAAACTCACTTCTCCTTGCAGAGGCTCAAAGAAAACACATGAATGTGCCTGCCTTAAATCTGCGAGAAAGTTTTGAGGCAATGAAGGGAATGGTTTTGCTCGAAACAAAGCCTGATTCCGCACCCCGGAGGGATGCGATAGGCAGATAAGGATTCACCCTGCTTCCCTCTTTGCTTCCCGGAGCCCTCCGTGCTGAGGGAAGGGAACTGCGACGCCTCTGCGTGCGCCAAAGCGAGCCGAGCTGCGGAGAGCGATTTATTACGGCCGCGGCTGCCAGTTGCCGGTGGCTCTGGCTGGTACCAGCAAGCTCAGCTCCTGCAGGAACTGTGCCTGGAACTCCGGGTGGGTGGGGAGGGCAGGAAAAGCACCTCACATGCTTAGCTGTTCAGCTCCCTTCTCCTTCCCCATTAGGGATTTCTTACCAGGCTGCCTTTTATCTGACACTGGCAGGGTTACAGATGCATTCAGCCCACAGAGAGAGAAGAGGGATTAGAGAAAGGACTTGCAGAAAGCCTTAGAGTTGGACTCCGCACCCTTAAATCATGTTCAACGAGATCTTCTCAGATTGGGAGCATCTGGAGCTAAGCAGACCCAAGCTGATCAACACATTCAACCTTTTGATTAGCACTCTGCTACAACTTGCTGACGCAGCCCAGCCTGAAGTCAGCCTGGGTGCTTGAACCGAGCGTCCACGGGGATTTTACTGAGCGTAAATCAAAAACCTGTCACACGTTATATATGCGTTCCTGCTTTGGAAGACATTTGTTTACACATACTGTACACTAGCCCCTTAAAAACATGAGGAGGAGAGCTCGTGAGCCGGGGAGCAGCAGCTTTTGGTGCTTGGCTAAAAACAAATTGTAATGCAAATAAACAGAGGGGCGGAAATGACTCCACATCCCAGCACAAACCCCGGGAGCCGATCGGGGGGCCGCAGAGCCGGCGCTTCCCTCAGCGGCCCGGCGCAGCCGTCCTGGCAGGTTCCTGGGAAGCTGCTTACAGAAAGGGGATGCCGGAGCATTCCTTTAAAAGCCATGTGAAAGCATCTCCTTGTTGTTTGCTCAATTAGCCCCAGACAGATTGCTGCTGCTGCTGCTGGTGGCAACGCCGGGTTGTAAAGGAGGAGGGGAAGGAGGGGAAAGGGGAAAAAAAAAGAAAAAAAAAAGAAAAAAGAAGGTTAGGGCCTAGGCCCAGGACCACCACGAAGTTCCAGCCCTCGGGGGCTCCAGAAAACGTTCAGTTTACTCACTCAATTACATACACTGTTTTATAAACCCTTTAAAATAAAATAGAAAACAGTCCCTGGCACAGAATTACTGCTCTATTATACAGCAGTGATGAAAGCCACTGCTGTGTATTTGCTCTCTTTAAAGCAAGAGATAGTTTAACTTAAAAAACTGGGAAGGAGGGGGCAGGGGTGGCTGTAGAAACGCATGCACGAAAACACGCCGTGGGTGGCTCCTACCACATTCACCCAGGACAGAAAGGATCAGAGAGCGGGAGAGAAGAGTAACTTGTCTCTGCAGCGATGGTTGGCCCTGGAAAGGCAGCCAGGTTGTGAGGGGGGAGAGGAACTGAAGGGGCTTATGGGGATGGGAAGCAGCTGAAGCTTGACTTTGGGAGGCTGGAGGGTGTTTTAAATTGCTTGTGGAGATAAAGAAGGGAAGCAGGTGATGGGGGCTGATTTGTTTGTGTTTACAGAGCAGCGGGCCTTTCCAGCCAAAGCCTGCTCTTCCCCTAGCTGCACTTTACTTACGTGATAGCAGGAGATGGAGGGGGGGGGACCAAAACATGGCCCTGAGAGCCAGACAGGTCCCACAGGTTTCCCCCAGGCGCCTCGTGGTCCCCACCGTGCGCCAGGCAGGCGCATCCGTGGGTCCTGGGGAGCCCCAGTGCCTGTCCCGGCTGCTCCACGAGGCGGGATGCCCCAGTCCAGGAGTGGGGCTGCAAGGATTTGAGGCAAAGCACCCCTGCCTGCAGCAGGGGGCCCGGCCCAGCTCCCAGCCTGAAGCACGAGCGTTGGGGTGGACCTCGCTGCTGCGGCACGCTGACCCGGAGCGGGCACCGCACGCGGGGCTGCAGAGGCTTTTCTGATAGTTCCATGCGTATTAGACCCCTCTGCCATCCAGTCCTTCTGGAGGTACAGGCAGGTCTTGGGAGCGTCAAGTGGAATTCAGTGCTCTAGGAGAGCCCATTTCAGCACAGCTGGGACCAGATGGATTGCAGGGAGTGAAGGAATTGGGAAGAGAGATGTATGAGAGAGTGATCATGAGGGGTGCTAAGAGAAAGGTTGGTTGAAGGAAAGTGAGATGCAGGAGGAGGATACAAATGGAGGTCGCTCTCCTTTCTCTGGCACTTGTCAGAGTATTTCT